ATGATGATTCCTATATGACAGGTGAGGAAACAAAGAAGCCAAATGGCTCACACAGGAAGGACATGATGGTGACCCCGCACGGTGCCTCCAGCCCACATGCTTGCTGCTGTCACCCCTGTTGTCTAGGCAAGAAAGTGGGAGCATAGAGGCTAAGGTCGTCCCAAGTGGGTGGGTGTGATGGGGAGGCTAGCTCCAGGCATGATGAGTGTGAGGTGCTGCCTGGGGCACAGATGTGAGAGCACGCAGCAGCTAAACCACAAAGGCAGGCCTTGGAACCTCCCAGCTGTCTCCATAGGAGACGGATGAGGCTGTCAGCGTCCGGAAAGACTTACAGCCCCCGGAACCCCCGGGGGAGCTCAGGTCTATGCACTGGGTGTTTCTCTGTTCAAGTCCAAGTTGGCACACACTCAGCAGTGGGTGGGAGTTTGAAGCACTTCTTGGCCAGCTGGCAGATGCATGCTCAGTGTGGAGGTGAGGGGAAGGGGGCTGTGTACGCAGTGTTCATGTTGGCTTGTGGCTGGCTGTGTACACGTGAGCTCTTCTGGCTTGTGGGTGGCTGTGTACGCAGTGTAGACGTGAGAGCTGTTGGCTTGTGGGTGTATCTGTGACCCATTGGGATGAGTGTGCACAGGACCCAGAGAAAGGGTCCAAGGTCCAAGAATCTTAGTGGATCCGGCCATTGGAGACTGGAGAGAAGAGGAGCCCGTCGCAGAGGAAGGCGCAGGGGTGACGCGTCGGGAGAAGGGGGAGAGTGCGGTGTGCTTCCAGAAGGAGGGGTGGTAAGCTCTGCTAGAAGAGCTGGGAGAACCAAGACCTGCGTGTGGGATTTCACCATCTGGAGCTGCCGGTGCCCTTGCCAGGAGCTGGCTCGGGGAGCAAGGGAGAAGCAAGTTTGCCTGGCATAAGTTGGTGGCACTGTGTACCGGGTGTGGGGCTGCTGGTGGGAAGGTTGGCAGTTGCATCTCACCAAGCGGCTCCTTGGGAGAATAACGTGGCAGTCTGCTGCCGGGACAAGGCAGAGTCCTGGAAGCCCACGGGGGCCTTCTAGCCTTGGGGTCCGTAGGAGCTGGAGCCAGCTGGAGTCTCAACCTCCCCGACGGTTACCGAGTTGATTCTGACTCGTGGTGGCCCCTGTACTTGGTGAGCGTGGCCAGCTTTTCAGAGCAATCAATAACTGATGGGAGGGGCGATGGAGGCAGGAGATGGATTTGTTTGGGGGCAAGGAAGCAGCGGCAGGCTTGGTGGCTGAAGGGCAGCCCCTCAGCTTGGGTGGCTGGTGGGCAGAGGGGAAGGTAGGAAGGCAGGGGCAAGAACTGTGGTCAGGAAGGCGCTTCTTAGTGTCCCAGTGCGGCGGCCAGCAGAGGTCAGGAGGGGCAGGGCTGATACCAGCTGAAGAAATGAGGTTCAGAATTAGGGGTGCTGGGAGAGCAAAGGAGGGGGATTCTGGGCTGACAATGTAAGGGACTCCTGGGTGCAGCTCCATCCTCAGCACTACGGCGACTCTGGGAGATCTGAAGCCTCCACTAGGGGATGCTGGGGAAAGGGTGGAGGGAATCCAAGGGTGGTAGTTACATCATCTGTTGTCAACTTGAGGATATTAAGAGTGAAGGGGTAGAGTTTAGCCTGTCAATCAGCTCCCAGCTTGATGACCTCATTTGGAAGCACTAAGGAGATAAATAGCTCACTGGAGGCCAGATCAACTCTCTCTGCTACACATTCCTGTTGACAAGTCGCATGGAGCTATGCTGATGGTAACCAGCGCTCTGGAGCTGGAGGAGCCACGTGGAGACCCCTGCCAGCACTGAGATGCTTCCACCACCACTGGATCCACAAGACTATCCACCCACTGGCCTGTGATCTACCGCCATTTGGCATCATTGCATGTGTTGCATGAGTCTAAAGAGGAATTTATAGGGTGGTATCAGACATATGGGCTAATATCAAACTTATGGACTTGATCTGGACTGGGCTGGGATACTTCCTTAATATACAATTATTCTTTGATCTAAAGCTCTTTCTTATACACATGAGCATCTATGAATTTGTGTCTCTAGTCTACCTGGACTAACACACCACGCTTCCCTCAGCACCAGAAGACGGAGAGGATATTCTGGGGGCACAAAGGGAAGCAGAGGGAGGTCGGAGAAGTGCAAGATTGTATCAGGTGCCGAGTAGCAGGGGTAATCCTGCTTGTCAGTCCCAGACCCCCGCAGGCAGGGCCAGCGGTGCAAATGGTTGAGTGAGGAGGCGTGCTGCCTGGTCGTCTGTCACGGGTACACAGGTGTGATGGAAACGTGACAGGTTGCGAGGATGACCACCGTGGGGCTCATGCGCTTGGGAAAAGGGCGCCCACAGACTTTCTGGAACTTTCCACTGGTGCAGAGCAGACGCTCTGCCAAGCCCAGGGAACAGGCTCAGGACAGCCAGCCCTTAAGCTTGTACTTCCCGTTGAGGTGCGTGCTGCCTCTGAATGCTCAGCCCTACCCTCAGTTACAGGAGGACGGCCAAGGGACAGACAGAAGATCTGCTCTTTGTCATCCGTCGCCTTCAGGCGTCTGCACTGCTCAGTCTGAATCTGAAACCCGTCACGATTTGTGGACAACGTTGTCTCTGGGTGAAATACAGCCTTCTCTTTACACAGTGCATCCCAAACTTCAGGCGCACGTCCACAGCTGTCCTCCCGCCCGCACTGGCGCCCGGAGTGCATCCTGGGACCCATCCTTGAGGCTTGAGGAAACAGAGACGCCAAGAGGTTAAGTGGCCTGGAGGAGACAGGTGCTGGTTCTTCAACCGCAAGCACCTGTACCCTCCAAAGACGTCTTGTCATTCACGGGC